TGATCGATTGCTTTCAGCCGCTCCCCTTATTTTGTCTGGCATCAATTAATCGTCCTGGATTTGACAGGAAGCGAACGTTCTCTGAACAACAGCGAAGCTAACTTAGCTAGCTGCGTTTATAAACACCAAACCATTTATTTCATCCAGTGGTCGTCCGTACAGGTAGTTTTTGTGACCGGAGCCGCCCGGACCGTGTTGCGGYGCCGCTGACAGGCTGTTTACGGTCATGTTGGCCGGGAGGGTTGAGTTTGGAGGCTCTTCCTTCCTCCGGTCTCATCAGGATGTCAGGGGGACTCGTTAGTTTCGCCTGAGCTCCTCTCGGCGCCTCCGCGTTTTACTGTTGTCGGACTCAGTCACCGCAGAGTAAGGCTTCTTCTTCATATCCGGCTGATGGTTTCTGTTTAACTCTAAAATGCTGTTAATGTTACATAAGATTTGGAGTTCACCTTGTTTGACTTCTCGGGCCAAAGCAGCAAACAGGACTAATTGTATAAACATGTTTCTCACTTTGTGCTTCATGAAGTTGTTCATATTTTACTTTACTGTGAGATCGATCAGATCATTTGTAAAATGTTGCCTCTTATAAATATAATAGAAAACAGATCAGCTGCTTAGTAGGTCTAAAAGTACATGAATTATAACGAACACAAAATTCAACAGTGTTAGGAATATTAGACACCTAAATAACCACTAATACTGCTCATGTTTATATATATTTTTTTTAAAAAAAAAAGGCTGTGATTCTGTCAGTCTAATCAGCATCAGCTCTTCTGTAAAGCTCTTACTTTCTTGCACCCTTTTGATGAGAAAGTCCAATCATTTCTGCAGATTCACAGACCAAAAACACAACAACCTAATCTTACAAATGAAATATAATTCTGTGTAACAAGTATAAGAAATGACAGAAATCACAGGGAATTAAGAAGATTGTCCTAATGGTGAATATAGTTAAAACCACGTTTTATTGTATATTATACTAAATATTATTTTTGACTAAAACCAGGTTTCATTGCTGTATGCAGAGGTGCCACACCTACACATTAATAACTGTCATCTATATAGGGACAGATGAAAACATGTAGGAAGTTTTGTTCAGACTGAGTTGTAAATGATTTTTCTGTGAAATGTTATTTACAAAAGAATATGATTTTTATATAAATACAATCACAAAAAACATAATGTAAAGAACAACCATTTTTTTGAAAAAAATCAAAATGTCAAAAAAAGAAAACAAAACCCTTAACAATGGGTTAAATATTCTGTAAATGTGTGGTTGTGACAGTGATGTTATCATGTGCAGATTATGTTATTGAACTTAATAGATTAATAAACTTTGCGTTAACTCATTACGACACCTGTGACAAAACAAATATTTTTTATTTGTATGTTGGACAGTTTGGGTAACTTACCCTCAATTTTTAGTTAATTCTTATATCGTCCATTGAAATTTTTCAATTTGAATTATTTTGTTTGTTTTTTTCCCCCAACTTGACTTACTGTGGATGGAAAGTTTCTAGAAATTTTCTGCTTCTTCTCAACAACAACTTAAAAAAAAACTGCATTTGACCAATGCTCAGCTTCCTGACCTTTTTAAGCTGCATTTAGACACAAATCCTGATTCGAGCAAATCCAGAGATTTGTCTCGATTTGTCCTGTTGATTGGGAAAACTTTTTTAAGCATAACGAGGATTTCATTGCACCATTTGAAAGAGGAAGACTTACAACATAATCTGGATATCAGAATTTTTCAGTTATTGAAAATACCTTTACTAGTTCGCAGCTTGGCAACATTTTAGGGCTTTTCTATTCAAAACCATTATTTGTTGTTGCTCATAAAACACTCTGTGGGATTCTATTTTGTATCTTTTCTTCATTGGACCCATTAATGCATTTATTCATCATATTTTAACTAAATCCAATCATACCAACTTTTCAACCAGTGCACTACTGTGTCCCACTGCACTGCCTTGTGACTTTATCCTCTGCTGGATGTGATAGTATCAACTACTGCTTGTAKTGCTATACCCTTTATCAATGTTGTGAGCATGTCATTTTAAAATTTAACGTCCCACACGCTTTTTTTTTTTTTTAAAGGGGATGAGGGTAATATTCARAATCAACCTTTTTGAGTTTGATGCTATAATAGGGTTGGGCATAATCGTATCGTGTGCAATTAATCGTCAGAAAAACATTAATCGATTAATACTTGACGATTAATACGATTAATGCCACCCGACAGACTAACCGTTTGGTGCTCTGCTTCAAATATAACAAACATTAAAAAAGTTGTGCAATTTTATTTATCTATCAACACAATTTAAAGTTTGATGTATAGCCTGAAGTCTGTAATTTTGACACAAATTTGAACAGATTTTTACGAAGAGCCAATTTTCTCCCTATAAAATGGTCATGTGACCAGGACATAAGGGTGTCCAGGGACTCCGGGGGATTAATCGTCAAATTAATCGTTATCGGCTAAATACCACAATTAATCGTGATTAATTTATTTGCCAATATTGCCCAACGCTATGCTATAATGTCATTCATCAAAAACATACCCAGAGTATTTCTTTGACTCATTTATGCATGTTAGAGACATTTTTGAATCTCCTGTGGTAGCCATGTGGAGCTTCCTAAACACTTGCTGGTGCAAAGCAACGCCTAATTGTACAAAGCTCCGCCCCACAGAGCCCCCCTCCCTCTGAGGCTTTGTTGTGAAGATGTGCTGAAGTGGGAGTGTTGGAAACAGTAGGGTGTTCTTAAAGAGACAGAGGATTATTTCAAGGTGTTTATTTGGGCTATGATGCAAATTCAAATGTATTTTTGATATAAACAGCATTTTCACAACAACTGAAGGTAACATAGTTACTTGATTGTGGTATAGAATTGAAAATACATAATATCACCCCTTTAAAAAGTGATTACCATATTTATTCAAGTATAATACGTAAAATGAAATCCATAAAATCATCCATAAAGTTGGGGGGTAGTACTATACTTGGATAAATATTTTTACTTAGGTATTTTAACTGAAATATCGGCTTCATTCACAAAATGCCTGAGTCCGGAAATGAGACCGCGTCGTAAAAAGCAGTTGAAGCGAGCTTACCTCTGACACTCCTCCGTGCTTCAGAGCGAGATAATAACAGATCCAGGCAGGTGACATGATGTGAAAAAAAAAACAGTCCTGCACCTTAGTAATGATAACAAACTAATGACATTAGCGTGTGACTGAGCGACTGCTGGAACAACAACAAACATGTTCATCTGTAATGGCTGCCGTCTACCGGTGTTCTGAAAAAGCTTGTATACCTGAAAAAAGTTTCCCTACCAGAGGGGGCGCTCGTGGGTAGGAAGTAATCTGCTTTTCCCCCACAAGATGGCCCAAATCTCATGTGAAGTCTCTGACTTTTGTGTTGGCGCCTCCTGGTGGACTATGTGTAAAATACCAGAATTCATATGATGCTGCTACAGCTGATATATATTTGTTGTCAAAATACCTTTTAGTACATTTGTTGTTAAAATAAAATGAACAGTCCAATGATCGTTTTACTGATTACATATTAAGACTGCAAAGGCTGAAAAATCATGAAGTCTGTATGAAATTGGAGGTAGTTTGAGGATTAATTTTTTATGCTTTTTAAGCTCAAAAAGTGGGGGTCGTATTATACATGAATAAATATGGTAAWTGTATGACACATTAAATAGTTTCTACATATGGCACAGGATTAAAGCACAGTAAAATGCCTGATCAGCCCTCACTGGTTGAACATTTGAAATTCTTACTGTCAAACATAAGAAAAAAGTTTGGTTTCATCCTGCCCAGAGAGGGTATAACTTTGTTCACCTTTTAATGTTTAATTTTCCCCTCTTTGCACAGAGATGGCAACTCAAAGCACTGGATCGGTCCAAGAGGGGGATCTGGTACAGACGTTCTGTAAGGACACTCCTGGGTCTCCYGATGTGTCTGAGTTGGGAAGCCCTCGCTGTGCACCAAATTTTGACCTCCTGAACATGGTGGTGTCCTACAAGAGAATGACTCTGTATCTAGAACCGGTTGTAGATGCAGTGGAGGTCATTCGTTTTTTACTCGGGTGTGTATGTGTGTGTTTTTTGTTTTGTTGCTTTGTTTGTTGTTTTGTTTTTTTTGTATTAACTCGAGTAGAAAATGTCAGAAATCAAGTTTAACTTGAAATATTCATTGTTGTTTGTTTTTTGTCACTCAGATGGAAGATGCCTTTGTGCTCTCTGCTTGTTTGTGTATTCCTGAATGTCTTCTTCTGCACAGTTACTGAAGGTATGAGTCATTCAGCTGTACCGTGATGTTACAAAAAGCATTTTAATAATTTATTAAGCTGTTGTTCTGCCTGCCTCTCTGGTATCAGTCGGCTGGTTCACAGTGAGCGTGCTTACGGTATCAGCTCCGGCTGCCCTGGGCTACCTGCAGGACAGGTGTGGGGGCAGAACTTCTGAAGCTGAGCTCCAGAAGAGGCACTATCATGCTGTGCACCGCCGAGACCTGCAGGATGTGAACCTCACCAAGCAGGAGGCCATGCTGGAAGTCAAAGACGTGTAAGATCATTTTGATGGTAATTTCAGCTGAAGTGTAGTTTGGGTGTGTGCGTGTAGTTAATAAGAACTTGCCTGTGCACCACACATGCTATCTGGYGGCTTGTGCACATGTTTACTCTAATTTAGCTTTTGAACTTTTCACAAAGTATGGCTTGTGTGTATCCTGTGTACATGACATTTATGCATCATAAGATGAAATATATTTGATATTGGTTTTACAGACTTTGTAATTGTCTGTTTTTCCCTTCGGTCGTCACCAGGTTGAAGCAGCTAGATGAAATGCTGTCCTCTGCTTGTCACTCAGCAGAAGCTTTTTACAGTGTCCTATACTGGGATAATCACACAAAGTCTTCAAGGTCTGTATGTTTCCTGAGATGCACAAATGCATGCATTTAATGCAGTTAAGTAGTTTGATCCTAAAAAATGTTGATTTTATTTACACATGGTGGCCTTAATATGTTATTTCTGTATTCTACTAAAAGTTGTTGTTTTTGACATGTGAAATCATCCAATTGCTTAAAAAATGTATCAAATTTTTCACTAAAGCAAATAGCCAATTGACAGTTGAGAATACAACCCAAAGAGTTGAGGTTAAAAAGGTAGAATATGTGACAATAAATTTGGATTTTGTATTTGTTTCTATGTTCTGCATAATATATGTATGTACAGCGGGTAAAATAAGTATTGAACARGTCACCATTTTTCTCAGTAAATATATTACTAGAGGTGCTAATGACATGAAATTTTCACCAGATGTTGGTAACAACCCAAGTGATCCATACATACAAAGAAATCAAACCATAAATGTCCAGAAATGAAGTTATTTGTAATAATGTGGAATGGCTCCAAACTTCACTGTTGGTATGGTGTTTTTGGTCTGATGTGCAGTGCCATTTGACCTCCAAACAGGATGTGTATTCTG